GGAGGAGCTATGCTTCCGAGGCTCGCTCACACTCAAAACTCAGCCATACAGAGAAAGAAGCCCCTTTTTTCAAGTGCATGTTTTTTTTTTTAATTCTTTGTTCCTTAAGCGTGGAATCAGCCGCATGCTCACTTCCAATTGCCACTGTTCTGACAAGAATTTTCTGTATCTAATTCTTTTGCATCTCACCTCACCTGCTTCGAAAAGGCCGGTGCCCCACCTTGGAACGGAATAAAGACTGGAGTGGCGTCGCGCTAAGCTGAGGTTTCGCCATCGACTAGCCTGGTCAGGCTTAGCTGGTAATGTAGAAGCTTACTAAGGTAAGATTAGAGGCAGCTGGAGCTGGAGCTCTGGAATGAAAGCTCCAAGCGGAGCTGGGGAGAGCTATGCACTCGATGGAGTAAATGAGGTGGTACTTGGTAGGAGGAAGGCAACAAAGACTTTTCAGGTCGGACAAGGCCTACTCATATAACCTTCCATTTTTTGTGCTCTTGTACCTAGTCTCCGGGTAAATGGGAAATTTCCATACTTTCAAGGTCTAAAAGAAGAAGGGAATTGATCTCACCATAGAAACCAGCTCTTCTGAAAGGTCAAGGCCCAGCTGAAATTTGTGCTTCGCAGCTGTCCCAAATCTCAAGAGGGGCGGGCTCCACCGGGTTTCCCGAAGTACTGGTCATTCAGCCATTGAAATCTGGATGGTCTGCGACAGTACACGTATTGGTAATACCATCTCTTTGACTGGGGTCAACCATCCAACAGCTCCAACAACCGACTTGTACCGACTTGATGCATAACCAGTCAAGAAAGTACAGCATTAAACACTTCATGATTAAGCGTATTTTACACACAAAGGCTTGATAAGAGATCTCTGAAGAGTTGGACAAAATCAAAAAGAAAGATTTTAAACTTTCTGTAAACAAACCTGTGTTGGAGTGGAATACCCAGTCTGCCAAAACCCCTCCTTTATTTACCATACAGTACGGTAATGCCTTAATCCATCTGGTCACATACTCCACTGACAGTAGGTAATGCCACCTCCTGTAAGGGGTACATTCTATCTGACGATGGAAATCGGCACATATCTTGACACTTGTGGCTTCATCTCAAGCTGGATATCAGCTTTTGAAAATTCTGATTCCCCTTGAGTCTCTTGGTTCAGCCGAAAAATGCTTTTGTGTAATGAGAACACCCATATCTCCGATGCGGGTATCGCGCTGTCCCACGTTTGTTAATCGATAGGCGCCATTTTAATTCGGCTTCACGGAGAGGCCTTGACCCTTGAACTCGGGCTTTAGCTTGCCTGATCAATCAAATGCTATTGGCTGTCATCTGTGTGACACTTGAATACTAGTGACATTTTACACCAGTGATTTTTTCCCTCTGCCCCTCTCAAAAATTACAGTCCTTTCATATGGACGAGCTGATCAGCTCCGGCATAAGGTAGGAACTGCTGCAAGTGCAACAGTGGTAGCTAGCTACCTCTTTTGATACTACCAGGTGTAAATTATCTGCCCTCGCAATGATAATCATATCGGATACTGGGTGAAAGGCCTGTGTAGTGATCTTGGTGTCCCACGGAACGATTTGCCATCCTGGGACCATTAGACTGGACACCGTGCCACCGGGTTCATCTCAAAAGAAATATTCCTGAGGTTCCCCAACTACCTGAAGACTACAAGTTTGTTATCGTTATCGATTATCATCAACATCGTCACCATCAGCATTATCTGCACAAGCGATAAAAGAGACATCAATATCATCTGTGATATATTGCCCTCGCCCTTAAGCTTGAAGTCCACACTGTGCCTTTACCGGGCTCCTCGGCCCCCAATCATCATCATTACATCTCACAATAATACTACCTAAAACCTAGGGGGAGTTATCCAGTTTTTTTCCGTTCCATTCCACCCACCCTTTTCCCCTCCGCAGCTCTACCGGCTTTCTTTCGTCTCCTCTTTGACCTCTGGATCAACTCGCCCAATACTCTGTCCGCTATTGGCATTCTAGATCTGTACCGGACCTATCTGGCTGTGTATTTCATTTACGATACATTGCAGCTTTACCCATACTTTCCCCTACTCTTGCTGACCCCCCTTACCTTCCCTCTCTATCACACTTATCTTCCCGTACTAACCACATTTACCACCATCTACCGCTACTCTTAACTGCTATCTATATACCGACCACGACAGAGCTACTGTTGCTATTCTTACTGCTAGCTATCCTACCAAGTACTTACAAGCTAGCTAGTCGTGGTTCATTATTCTTCCATATCACCTGCTCCCGTATCCATCTACCACACTTTCAACCTTTTGCCTCAATTTCCTTTCCACTTTGGATTCTTTGACATCCGCTCAATCAGTTGCATGGGTATTTTTATACCTAGAATCATTCTAAAAAATTTCCAGCCTTTATCGGAGCATGTATTGCGCCGTTCGGCTTTTTTAAGCTTGGATCTTTTTGCGTTGCTTGATTGACTGATTGACGTCGAACGGCTTGCTTGCTTGCTGGCTGGCTTGCATCTCCCTCGAACCCCGCCGCATCACGGTTTCATGCAGACAATGCCGCCCCGAGCGTCCCTGACCAGCTCCTTTTCTGTCACTGACGCCAATAATGAGGTCGTCTGTCCATTGAAGAATAATGATGGTTCCAATTGTCGCAAAAGATGCCTGGGTGTGAGTTCTCCTTGGTTGTTTCTTCGATTTCCCTACTCCTTCCCCCGCCTGCCTAGCTATCAGTATGGAGCCCCACTTTCAGTGGCTATCCAGCTCCTTCAACGATTCGAGAGAGGATATTTAGTCAAAAGCAGCGTCTATAGGATTAATGTCTGATGATATGCGTATAGGAGAAACGTTATCGCTCCATGCAGGAGCACATCCGACGGGCCCATCCCAACCACTACATTCCGAAGCTCCCGGCCACAGAAGAGAGCTTTCTCTTGATGGTCACCACGCCTCCGGATCAGCGTGCTCATATACCTCCTCCGAACCAAGCTCCATCTCGAAGACATAATGGTGGGTTCATTCAGTTGTTTGACCAGCTAGATTCAAAGAGCGCCAGCTCTGACTCTGAGCCACAGCAGACCGAGATATCTACGTTGCGGATGCCAGCTCGCCCGCAACCCCCCGGGGTATCGATGAAGCCCATCCTGCAGCTGCAACAGCTGCTGTCGCATTGGCTCAACTGCACCATCACCGCTTAGCGTCGGACTGGGATACTGATATGGTATGGATAGCAATCGAGACAATGTGATTTTGGCTGACTTGTCGCAAGGAGGTTCACTCGGACAATGACATTGGTCGAGACCGCATGCGATCATCGATTGAACTGCCATCCCTGCGAGACCACTTCAAGCAAGAGTCGCTACCTCCATTTTCGTCGCCCCGTCCCCGAGAACTCCTTCCTTCGATTCTCAACCACTCACCCCCCGGTCGCTCATCGACACTACCTCCTATCCAGCGACGAGACAAGCTTCCTCGTCCACGCAAGTCCTCTATCTCGCGCAAGCTAAAGCATGACCGGACAAGATCGAGGGATTATGGACGACGTCCTAGCCTAGGGGATCGTAAGGCACTTTCGGCTGAGCCTCAAACGGCGGCTTGGGCGCAAGGCAAGCGGTGGGAGGACCTGATTGAAGCGGCCACCTCGGCCACTGAAGCAGATGATGAGCAAAACTCGGATGTGAGTCATGTACTTTTTAGCTGTTCGTCACAGACGTAGTTCTTGGCTGACTGGACTAGATCGGTCGTTCGCCAACAATCCCCCCTCTGATTTCTAACATAACGTCGGCTCCCGCTCAGAATCGTTCGTCGTTACCACCTGCTTTTCAATCTGGGAGTTTGCCTCCACCTGCGTCGCATCGCCCATTCCCGCCGCACGCGTACGCGGCATCGCCTTTACACAAGTCCCTGACTCCGCCGCCTTTTGAGACTCGCAGTCGGGATGGTGATCTCGAGCCTTTCCCCTCTATTGAATCCTCTCTCGATTCGTCGTCCACCACATCAGGTAAAAATTTCGGTTTCGGAAGAAACATGGGCACTGCGAATTCAGACTCTAGTCCAATTTTGAATCTGTTCCCGCCTTCTGCGTCCCAGCGCCAGCACCACCGGTTCTCGAACCCGACCCCGGCTTCCTTTCGAAACAAGGAAATTCAGATATACTGCGCGAGCTGCAAGCGGCCGTGGCCCCTGAACGAATGTTATGCGTGCACCGAGTGCATCTGCGGCGTGTGCCGGGAGTGTGTGGGAATGTTCGTTAGCAGTCCTCCCGTCTCGTTCAAGAACGTGACCTCAAGTCCGGGCAGCGCAGTGCCTAGCAACAGCGCGGGGTACGGCCCTACCAGCTACCCGAGCCCGCGTGGATGTCCACGGTGTCGGACCGTCGGGGGCAAATGGAAAGCATTCCAAATCGAAATCAGGTGAAGGAAAAGGCTGTCTCCCGTCCAACTCTGAGCATCAGCTAGGACGATTACACTCATTTGGCCGCAATCTTTACACTGTCTAATGGATAACGATTAATGTTTTGGGATCATGATCATTGAAATTACGCGCAACATGGCTGAAACGTGCGGACACGGGGCGTTATCAATTGTGAGTGGGTTCATGGTTCAATGCCTTGGTTATACATGACATTTGGCAAGGTATGACCTGCCAACGAGATACTCCCATCAATCAATCCGCTACTCTGTGGTATGTACTGGCAGCATATGGTTGATGAGACTCGAGTTTATGAATGTTGGGAACGTGGATGAATTAAAAAGCTGGGCTTTTGTCATTTATTTCATGATTATGCTGGATGGATATATGACGGGGACAATTTTGGATTTTCTCTTTCTTTTAGGATTAAGACACAATGGTTATACTGGTTTGGACGGGTTTGGTTCGGAATTGCATCTTATTAGTCTTTTGGCAGCAATGCATGAAGATTTCATTTGGCGTGCGTCTATGCTATCGTTTCACATTCTGAATTCAGCAAGATATTGAGATACGAGAACGTTTCAATTACTCTGCCCAGATGACGCTGCTCAGGCCTGTTGAAGTCCCAGGCTTTCCGGGCTTTCCGACCTGAATGTTGGCGACCAGGTCACCCAGCTTTCCACTCGCCGGATCCCGGGAGACAATGGCAACGTTGGACGTGGACTGGTCCCCGATAGCGACGAGGGTGCCGGCCTTGTTGATGACAAAGGTACGGGGTACCAGGCCATGGGCAGAGGTGAGTTCCTGGAAGGTCACGGTGCCGTTCTTAGAGCGGGCGAGGGTGGCCAATGAATCATTGCCGGAGAAGGCATGGTCGCTGCGGATCGAGGCATACAGGTTTGATCCGGCTTGCTGCAGCTCGGCCAGCGACGCGCCCTCGGGGATTTTCCCGCCCGGGTATGGCACAAAGTCTTCAGTCTCGTGGAAGCCAAGACAGCCAGAGGGGAGGTACGATACGGCAAAAGCGTGAAAGTGGCGGCTCAATTCACTGAGAGTGTACAGCATTGTCGCTGGCCCGTTTATGGCGGCAGTGTTCTGGTTGCGCAGACCATTGCGATGCGAGTGGCGAGAAGACCAGAAGAGGCCGTGTCGCGGTCCACTGCCAGGGGCGTAGTTGAGGCTGGGGCAGGTGTTTAGTTTGCCCGATTGCTTGTCGATGGCGTACACGCGAACCAAATCCGCGCCTAGGTCAGGGACGAGGATGAACGAGCCTGTGGGGTCGAGGATGATCTGGTGGGGGTGGGAGGAGTCCTGCTGCGGACGGGGACCTGGTGGTATCTGGTACCGCAGGACCTGCCGGGGCTTGTCGCCGGCTTTGAGGGGGAGGGCAAAGGTCGATACCGCCGAACCGGAGCTTCGTCTGCTGTCAGATTTGTCAAGCATTATTGCGGGAATTGACTTACTAGTGCGCAATGGCCAAGTACTTTGCATCGTCGTCTCCTTCGTACACGACGCTGTGGACTCCACCGCCGACATCCACCACCTTTGCGAGCTGTGTGAGCGATCCATTTTTTGCGACGGCGTAAGCGCTCAGAGTGCCATTGGTCGTCGCGTCGCCGGTCTCGTCGGTGCAGTAGAGGGTGCTCGTTTCGCCGTCCAGGGTCAACCAGCTCGGCATGCCGCCGCAGGTGGTCTTGGCCGACGCGAGAGACAGATCGTACTTGCCATTGCGATGGCTGAGGGTGAGGGTGTAAACAGAGCCACTGTAGTGGGTTGCATAGAGGGTTGCGGCGGAAGCCAGGGTTGCGAACAGGGGAAGATAGCCTAGCATTTTGTCCAGTGGAGTATGCAGGTCGAAGGATTGTCAGTTTACGGGGTATTTACGAATTATATACTCGGGACTGCGAGACGATCCTGGACGGAAATGAAGGCGCGACGGTGACATTGTTGTTGTCTTCATGCAGGAGAGCGGAGCTGGTGGCTGGCGCGGGGAGCGGTTGTTGGCATGGATCTGCATGTTTCTTCATGTTTATGGACCGTGTAGTCTACCGCGTGTGGGTTGCCAAGAACGTGGGATGCAGAGTATTTGGATGAGTTTAAACGAATCATCAGATCCTACCGGTGCTTCGATGTAGTAGGTGTCTCAAGTTGATGATGTTACAGCGACACCTCTTCCCCGCACCAGAAATGGATATTCTTCCGGGGTTCGGAGACCCTCCATACACTCGAAAGAAATAGTGTTCCTATTCGGGTAAAGCATGGTATACTTTGAGGCTTGGCATCACGCATGGTCTAGACTACTCCGAAGACGACGGAGTATATAGATTCAGTTCCTGACTGCTACTCGAGTCACCGGCTATCTTCTATAGCTGCTTTTTACAATATCTTGGGTTCCAATAGAATCAGTGTGGTGTGCATACTTGCTACCCGAACGGTTGCTGGGACTGGGTTGGCTGGTTTGGAGCAAAATGCGGACCAGGTCGGAGGTGAATTCAATGAAGTTGTTTGAGGTCGCACTTGTTTACTGGCTTAATTACTTAGGCGTGCAAATGGCTGCGATTGTAAACCAAGTGGCCCGGATTATCAGTGGCTACGGAGCCACCAGCAGTTCTTCCACCGCTACTGCTACCCCAACGACTACCACTGGCTCTAAAACAACTACTACCACCGTGACCACGACCGCTTTTCCCCCATTATAGGACAGTGCAGTGGACTCGGCTGGTCGGTTCCAGCGCATCCTGCATTCTTTGTCTAACCGAACTGTCTCTTCCACACCTTTTCCGCAAGCATGGTCAGGTCATCCTCACCTATTATGATATCCCCCTCCCCCTTCTCCTCCTCTGCGGGTCGGAGGAACAGTTCCTCAAAACCTATCACAAGGGGAGCCCCAGTGATATGCACTGGCGAATCATTGGCCCCCTGCGACGCGACCACCTTCTGGACCACCTCTGGCACCTTTTTGGCCGGTTCTGCTCTGGTTGGACGGCTGATCAATCCCCACGTCTCAAAAGTCATTCCCTTAGTTTTTTTTTCCCACACTGTGATGGCGAGGACAGTTTTTACTTCCCCGCCGGAAGCATCCAGTCACCAGTGGGCATCGCAGGCCAGCTTGCTCTGGTTCTCGGAGTAGGCGCACTCCCCCACTACTGATGGCCAGTGATCCGGCCGGCCGGCCGGGAGCTGCTCCGGCAAGTAGGATAGGTCTGGCCGTTTGGTGCGCTCAGGAGATTTGACGTCAGCTGTGCCTAGCAGTTGGAGATCATTGCCAACGTTCATGGCCTTCAGTTTGTCGATGAGTATCTTATTCATCCCATGATATGCTTGTTCATGGGCACGCCAGGGCACCTTGGCGAGTAGTACTTGGAATTGTGGGGAAAAATCGGTGTGTAAATGGCTGTGTGGCTCGTCAAAGTCTTGTATGAAGGTCTGCTCATCAATACAAGAGAAGATCACATACTTGTGTTTGGATTCCGCTGCTTCTCTATAGATAATGCCCCAGAAGTGTCGAATGCACTGGTAGGGATATTCACTGATCATGGGACTAAGGCCAAGGGCATGGCGGCTGATGCTGTGTGTATTCACTGCCATTTTCATAAACTGTATTCGCTTCTTGCTAGAAGAGGAATGGAGGAAGCTTGAACTACTAGAGGTTATGTGTGTAGGCATATACACTGTTGATAATATTAGAACCACTTAAGTAAAGGTGTCCAGATAACCATTTCTAGGGCAGTCGGAATAGTAATGTAGGATGTTGAACATATATTTCCCTCTACTACCCTTTAATAGAGCATGAATTCTTAGTCTTCATGCTTCTAATGACCTCACCATGATGGCATCTTCTTACCTGGGAACCGCTCTGTATAAATTACTACGGAGCTGACGCAAATGGCATACAGTATAGAAGACTGAAAGAATGTGCTTTGCATGCTGATACCTTAAAAAGAATATAGACGACTATGTATAGGCCACTAAATCTTAAACTCCTTCTGGAACCCACTTGCAATTAATGTATTTGCATAAGACATAAGATCTCAGGTCCAGCTAGTACATTTGGACAATATGCGCTAATCACATTTTCAGTAAGCTTGTATAGATAGATAGAGCCTGCCGTCCCAAGTTGGACCAGTGCAGTATATATTCCGTACCAGGCATCTATATCGCCCTGGGTCGAGATCATATTCTTGCGTATATTTTCGTGGTATCCGCAAGTTTCGATGAATTCGGGTTAGGAGAATTGCAGCTCATTTCGAAACTACAAACCTTGTTTTAGATGAATGTTCTTGATGCTTTGTAGCTTCTTCCTCGGGGAAAGCATACTTAGAAGACTTAAGCGACGCTCTTGAGCATACCCTTCTCTGGTAAAGGTGTCATGAAGAAGGAAAGAATGAAGCTCGTGGAATTTGTATCTATCTACCACTTTGAGCTAAGAGAAGGAGAAAGAGGGCAGTTGCTCTAGCGGATGCCTGCGGGTCAGCGTCGGGACCAAATCCATTAGAATCGCGCTTTATATTTGTCCACAGGCAAAGTAATTTCTTTCACTTAACTGTGCCATTACCATAATCTTCCACGTTAATAAGGTGAGACGTTGTGGTGAGCTTCGAATCGTGATCAGTCTGCCCGCAGCCGGTGTCTTCTCAGCCCGGATGTTTTGCTCAATGGACTTTCTATTCAAACAGATATCGAGCTCGTGACCTGAGGTTCTTCTTCAGGAAGTAGCAGACACTGTGTAGAAGGGTTGTAGTATGCATGCACAACGCCGTCGGCCCCGTCTTTCAGTTCTTAGGCATCTGGCATGGGGAAACTTGCGCCATAAATGCCTATCCCAGGGTATATGTCAAACAGAAAAACAACACTTTCGGAGTTTGGCCTATCCTAATAAATGCATTCCCCTTACCCCGGGGCCCTGTATTACTGCTCTTTTCATATAATTTAAGGGTTTAAACCTGGTCACGCAGCCTTTGATAGCGGCCATTTTGTGCTCAGTCTGGAAAAATCTTCGTGCAGGATTGAGCAGTCAAGTCTATCAAGATACAACGCTGCTCATATCGAAGGTGTCTTGACCTTGATTTTGGCCAACCGTTTGTATGGAGGTTACAAGGGCGAAGAGATCAAGATCATAACGCCTTATTCTGCTCAACGCAACCTTTACAGAAAGGCGCTTTTCCATATGAGATCTCAGATACCTGAGGAGAGTCAACCTTCAGTTGAAACGATAGATTCCATGCAGGGAAGAGAAGCAAAGGTCGTCATACTTGATTTCACCATCTCTGACGCGACTAAAGCCGGAGATCTTGGCTTTGTTGATGATGATCATCGTTGCAACGTGGCTCATTCAAGAATGATGGAAGTACTGGTCACCGTTATGCCCATGCGCATTGCAACGAGTCCTCTGGGGACAACCCCAATGGAACGAATGAATGCTTTTGGGGAAATTGTCAGATCAAGAGTTCCTTACCCAGTCGACTACATGCAGTGGGCTGCTTCAAACAAGATGGTCATAAGCGTCAAGGAGGTTCCTGGTAAGCTACTCTACTTTGTGAAACAGCTTGTGTTGGCTCTGTCGAATACTAACTTCTTTGTCCTTTGTTAGGCTCAATCAAGCTTGCTTTCCTCGAGTCCGACGCCGGAGACAATTCTACGTTTGCTACGGTAGAACAGGACGCCGATTCACCTTGGACCGCAGCGCCGGAGCACATGGATGAAAGTCAGATACAACAGGACACTTGGGGCACTTCAGCAGATAATACAACTGGGGACTGGGATGCGAAGGACGAAAGTACTAAGGGAGAGAACACGAGCGGGGAGTGGTAGATTATCAATTTTGTTGTTGACCTCAAGATCCCAGCCGTTGAACCACTGTTGCGGCTTATGAGATTTTGCAGTTTTCTTTCCGTTGAACTACTGTTGCGGTTTTCCTTCTTTTCTTTTCTTTCGTCACTATGATCTTATGATCTCAATTTTTCAATAGCCCATCCAGCGCTCTTACCAGACTCTCATCCTCATCGTTCCTTCCACCCTCGCACACTGCTATTATCTTTTGTATCCGTATCCAGCGCTCTCGCCAAACTCTCATCCGCATCGTTCCTTCCAACTTCGCACATTGCTATTATCTTCTGTGTCCGTTTCCTACAAGCCCCTTTTAGCTTCCTCATGTCATCGCCTCCAAGCATGTCTACAATCACTACAGTTTCTCGAGCTTCGACCTCAGGGGCACGTCTACTCCCACCGAGTCCCGACAAGAGAGACGAACCTGACAATCAAACCCACAAAGCATTGTCGAGGACGGACAAGCAGGAGGAGCTAAGCCGAGCCATCGAAAGGATCAAGACATTTCTTACAGCGCCCGACGGGGACAATCTAAAACTTCAACTTGGTCACGGGCTGATATATTCTAAGAAGCTAACCCAGCCTCTTGACGAGGCCAGGGCGAGATACTACTACGAGGGAGACACCTTGGTTGTTAAAGGCATGAAACCGGTCCATGAAAGCCTCTCCGAATTTGCGTCCTATGTTTATGGTCAACTAGTGAAAGAAGTTTTCACTCCAGAAGAATGCGAATACGTCGGGATGAATACTGCCCCAGTTCAACTCTATGGCAAGATAGAAGGCTACGGCAAAAAACGCCAGTCATTTTCCAAGATTCCTGACGAAGCATATGTCGTAACAGACCCACGAACGTCTATGAGATTCCGCACTGTTGCTTTTGAGGCAGCTTTCTCCGAGACATATGACGACCTCATCCGAGATATGCGACAATGGCTACTACACAGCGACGGGCAAGTACAGCTCGTTGTATTGGCAAACATCAAAGAGGATAAAAAAGCACTTGCAATGCAGCAAAAGAGTGATGCCTTCAGGGATCGTGCGGCTAGGCTTCTGGAGGAATTTGGAAATTCTCTCGGAAGAATCAATCACGCTGATATCTTAGAGCGGCTGACGGAGGCATGTGCCCAACAAGAGAGTCAGACTACGGAGATTTACGAGAGACGACCTCATGTAGGAGGGATCCGCGATCGAATCAGTCGCCATGTACAACCCAGCGATTGGGTCGGTCCAATCACTGCTGAACTTGAGTTCTGGCAGATGGCGGGTTCTGAACCTCAAAGACGGGGACAAAGAGTCGTAAGTTCCTCATATAACAAGAGTGCTATAACTGTGGACGCAGCTGACATCGATACCAAATCATAGCGTGTGTTTCCTGGACCTGTAATTGGAGATCTACCTCCTCTCTATATTGGTGATGTGATTCACCCAGACTGTCGTGGCAGCTTTTCGAACTTTGATGCGTCTCGGAAGCTCATCCCAGACCCTGAGAAGTTCGTGAGAGCATTGACTGGGGGAATCAGTGAACTCGCTCATAGTCGCATGCTTTATTTTGCACGCCCGAAGGATAGTGATGAAGAAGACGAGGACTACAAGGAGTAGTGTCTTTCCCTATGCCTATGCAGACACTTAATCTCGATGATGGAAAGTTGATCCTTATTCTTCACAGGAAACGCAACTCAAATGCAACACTAGCTAGTCACTTTAATACTGTATTAATAGCTTCTCAGCCAGGGAACAATGGAACTTCCCTTTCCTTCTTTTGAGTGAGTGCCATTGCAAAGCAGTCGACGCCGCCACCGCTCCTGGTAAGCTACTCTACTTTGTAAACAGATTGTGTTGCTCTGTGGATTACTAGCTTCTTATTTCTTTTAAGTTCTGTTAAGCTTGCTTTCTAGAGTCGGGTCAGACACAATACTACGTTCGCTAGAGTACAACAGGGTCATGCGCTGGAGCAGATGGGTATAGTCAGATACAACAGGACACCTTGGGGCACTTCGGCAGGTAATGAAACTTGGGTTGGGATGCGAAGAACAAAGGTAGTGAAGGAGAGGACAAGAGCAGGAACTGGTAGATTGTTCAGTTTGTTTTTGACTTCAAGATCCCAGCCTTGAACTACTATCCAGCTTATGGGATTTGCAGATGCCTCAAAACTAGTTCCATTAATCTACTGTTACAATTCTACCTCTTTTCGCACTCGTTTGCCGTCACGACGATGATGTCTCGATTCTAAGCAAGTAGTTACCAATCCCATCTAGCACTCTGACAAACTCCTCATCCTCCTCTTTCCTTCGCCCTTTGCACACTGACATTATCTATCTAGAGATCGTGCTGCTCGACTCCTGAGGACTTTGACTTTTCTCGGATTACCACACATACTAATGTTTAGTACAGCTAGTAGGATGCATGTACCTAACAGAAAGCCCGGCAACAGAGACTACGAGAGCCAACTTCATGTAGACGAATCCGCACTCAGACCGAATGCCAGTGCAACCCAGCTGGCGCAATCTCTGCGGAATCTAATTCTGGGACTTGCTGGGTTAAACCTCAAAGCTGGGGGGAAGGACACTGCTCATCCGACGGAGGCGTCAATAGCCCTCCCTCCATCATCTTCGCCTCCCGTTGACCAGAATCAGGAGCTCTCATATCCTCCCCCGCAAAGAAGCAAACCACCATCTCCGCCGCAACCTCCGCATCATCCTCCCCATCACCCGCCTCAATCGCCCTCAAATACCCCTCTACCACCTCCCCATCCCACCCCCACCTCCTCCCAAACTCCAAACACGTCTCCCGATTCACAAAAACATCAAACTCAAAATGTCCCTGGAAAGTCAACACCCGTCCGGGACGATACAGACCCTGGATAGGACACCGCGACGTTGAGCCCACATTCACCCAGTCGTCTGGCAGCCCTCTCTCGGATACAACCCAATCTCCATGGACAAGCTGCAGCCTCATCTCCTTCCTCCCTGGTCCCTCTGCCGCCGGCGCTGATATCAGGGATGATAGCAAAGGGAACCCAAACCTCGTCACAAACTCCCTCTCCACCGCAATAGCATGCACACCCACCTCATAACCCCCCGGACAAGCCTCAACCACACACCCTGGCACTAGCGTCCGCGCGAGCATCTGATGTCCAAAGCACGAGCCGAAGAGCTTGATGTGCGGGTAATTCACATAGACATCGTTGAGAAAAGCCTGCAGAGAGGAAATCCAGGGGTGTTGGTCTGCGCGGTAGACGGAGGCCGAGGAGCCGGTTAGGAGGATGCCGTCTATACTCCTTTTCTCACTTTCTTTCCCTCCAGGGCCTGGTGGGGAGGGATGGAGGAGATGCGCCGGGGGCAAGATGCCCCCGACGGCATCGTAGGAGGATGTGCTTATTGTTATTTCTTTGCTGAGGGACTGGGAGAGACGTGCTACGGCGGAGACGAGGAGATGGGTGAATTGCGAGCTGTAGAGGCCTCGCGTGGCGTAGACTGTTGGGACGGGGACGTCAAGGTCGAGGATGGCGATGTGGAGGTGCATTCTTTTTTCTCAGCTTCTTTTCCCTTGTGGTTGATTCATGAGTGTTTTCTGTTTGAGGAGTTGGTTGAGGATGAAGACGTGTGCTGGTCTCGTGGTGATAGTTCTCGGATCCGGTTACCGGATTTGGAGAGGTTTTCCTGTTGGTGTTTGGAAACTAGTTGGTCATGAAATTGATGTAGAGAGATGTTTAGCTTGACAGATATGCTTATACTAGTGAATGTATATCAGATTATTGTAGCGCTTGCTTGCTAGAACTATATACTTGCTAGAGAGTGTATGGACAGTGCTAGAGTAGGAGAAATCATTACCATCTTTAAAAGTATGGGGTGACCACTACTAAAATGAAGTAGTTCATTTACATCATTCTGAGTATCAGAAATGTAGGACTGCTAGTATTCATCTTCACCCTTTATAGCTTTGACTTAGAGTAACATGGGAAATAAACAGACGTGATGAACTACCGAAGAACTTCACATGTTTACATTAGATCTAAATTTAAGGTATTGCGGAGTACTCGATTGATTCTGTCACGTCCCCATCTGATTGCGCCATATCCGCATCACCACTTCCAATGGATCTCTCCCAAGACGGCGCCACGAGCCTATAGAATGAAAGATGGCCTGGCACGCCATCATCTCCGCTATTGACCAATCATTCATAGTTCTCCGGTATGGACAACAAGTATATATACCCCTCACCCGAGGACATACATAGTAGACTGCGTACAACGCAACAGTATACTTCATACAACTAGAGAGTGTTGACAGGTGACAATGGCCCTCACACAACTTGCACCCCCCACCACCCTCTTCCCCGACGGCCTCAAAACAACAGGCCAACACCCTCCTCTCTACGAGCATCTCCAACCCTTCGACCGCTTCCCCAAGGAAATCACAGGCCCTACGGTCTGGACAGCAGCCGAGTACCGCGACCACCCCGAGAAATGGACGCACCGGTTCACACCAGACGAACTGGACGAGCTGAGTCGCACCGCGGACGAGTTCATCAAAAATAAGATTCCCTTGACGGGGATTTCAAAGGTACCCCCCTCCCCCAACAACCCTGGTATTGTTCAAGGGGATTGATGCTAAGCTACAGTAGAAAAACTTCCCCCTCCCAACCCTAAGCACCCACCTGCACGCCCTCCGGCACGACCTCCTCCACGGCCGAGGCTTCATCCTCTTCAAGGGCCTCCCCGTCCAGCAATGGGGCAACCACAAGTCCGCAGTCGTGTACATGGGCCTCGGCACGTACCTGGGCTACTTCGTCAGCCAGAACAGCCGCGGCCATGTCCTCGGCCACGTCAAGGATCTAGGCGAGGATCCGTCCCAGATCGACAAGGTGCGCATCTATCGCACCAACGCAAGGTAGCACCCGGTCTCCTGAAGGGTAAAGCTAGGCCAGGCTGACGATGAACTCTAGACAATTCTTCCACGCCGACGACTCGGATATCGTCGGCCTGCTGTGTATCGCGCGCGCGCTCGAAGGCGGCGAGTCGGACCTCGTCTCCTCGCATCATGTGTATAACGTTCTGGCCAGGGAGCGGCCCGACGTGCTGAAGACGCTGACGGAGCCGATCTGGTATTTTGATCGCAAGGGCGAGACCTCCAAAGGTCAGGATGAGTATATCCGGACTAGTGTGATGTATCTCGAGCGCGGCGATAACCCGCGCGTATATACCAAGTGCGTTCCCCTTTCTGCCCTGCCCTGCCCTGCGCTGTAATGAAATATGGGATTAATGAGTGCTACAGGTGGGATCCGTACTATGTGCGCTCGCTGGCCCGCTTCTCCGACGCGGGCATCATCCCCCCGCTGTCTGCGGCGCAGCTGGAAGCCATCCAGGTGCTGGAGGACACCTGTCTGCAGAACGCGCTGCATATGGTCCTGGAGGTCGGCGATATCCAGTTCCTGGCCAATTCACATGTGCTCCATGCGCGCACGGCGTACAGGGACCATGCGCCCCCGGCGCCGAGGCGGCATCTGATGCGGCTGTGGTTGGCGACGCCGGAGGATGAGGGCGGTTGGAAGCTGCCGTTCTGGGATAGCAATGAGAAGAAGCGAGGGGGGATTCAGGTGGATGACCAGCCTCCGGTGGCGCCGTTGGATGCGGAGTAGTCTTCTAGTTGTATGATACCTTTCAATGTACTCCATATGGTGGTAGAATAATCATTATCATTAGTCGTACGATGGATGCAGCTACTGAACTATTTTGTAGTTCCCTCCACTGATAATCTCCAACTTGCCCTTGGCGACCATGCCCGCAAGAAACTCGCGCAGCTCCTCGTTGCTGAATGGAAACCCCCCGGGCACCGCGATCTTCAGCATCATGACGATGCGCTGCAGCGGCATCGCGCCTTGATTGGTCAACATGCCGACGATAAACTGCCAGTACAGGTTCATCTTCTCCATCGCCGCCGCCTCGGCTGTCTCCTTGGCTGCCGCCGCCGCCGCTGCTTCGGCTGCTGCCGCGGCGTTGGCCTGACCAGGGTCCGCCGACGCTGATACGCCGGCGGCACCGACGGCGCCCATGTCATCGTCGCTGGGTAGGACCTCCAGGACGCGGAAGGTATTGCGCTGCACTTCGCTGAGGATGCGCTTGCTGACCCAGAATAGACACGCACTGCGCACGAGCGCCGTCGACATGTCCAGTTCAGCCGACAGCTCATCCACGGTTTTGGTGGCCCCTTCTTCCCCAGAGCCAAAGGCGTAGATCACGGTGGCCTGCCAGGTCGTCACCTCGTCCACAAACACTCGGTCCTCAAGATCCAGCTCGACGGTGACCTGTCCCATCCCGTTGAGCCAGGTGAGTTTCCGGGACTGTTTGAGCGATCCGAATCCCGTGGCGTAGCGCTCCTGCAGCGCCGCAATTTCCGGGGGTACTTTGAATTCCTGCGCGGGAAATTCGGGCCAGAAGAAGTGCGAGAGGATCTTTGCATGCAGCTCAGGCCTGGTGTCGTCATCCTGCTGGACGAGCCCTTGATCGTTCCGGACTACGGCGTCGACCCGGCGAGAGTCAAAGATATCCCGTAACATGACCTCGCATGCCTGCAGAGCATTGTCCCCGAAGCGTACCTTGAGCAGCTCCAAGACGGACGTCTCCTGCTCGAAGTCTGCGCGTTTCTGGAGAAGGCGCTCGGCAAGCATGTTCTGCATTTCCCTGACAAACGTCTCTTTGGACTCGAAAAGACTAATCAGACTGCCAATGACGTCGGAGCTCTTAGATTTCCTGTAGTCCGGCGCAGCGTCTACCGGATCCGGCATCCAGTTCATGTCATCCCAGTCCAACTCGCCAGAGTCGGCCCGCAGTGAGTTCTGGTGTGCTTTGGCTAGCTCGGCAGATAGCTCCGCAAGTGTCTCTCCGGTAGACGGGAGATGATGGGGCTCCTCCGTGTCAGACGCATCCGCCAGAAGCCCACCCACGATGACCTTGACAGTATCATCGCGATCGCGTAGGTACCTGCGAATGGGCCGAGCAACCCGATCGAGCAAAACACCTTTGGGATCTAGTAGGTTGAACGCGCGGATGATGGAAATGTACACTCGTAAGATGTCAATGGTCGACGCCCCCGGATGCAACAACCTTTGGTTGAGCACTTTGATGAACGCGTGCGTCAGACAGTACCGTGCGGCCGGATGGGTCGTAAAGTGTCGCAAGTCCTCAATTGCGCCGCTGCTCGCGGGCCACTCGACAATAATATCAAACAGCTCCCGTGTTCGGAGTGACCCCAGGCGCGAGATTCCCATCTCCTGCCACTTCTCCACATCGGCTAAACTCACATCCAGACGTACAGACGCAGTTGATTCAGTCTCGTCCTGGTTGATGATCGCCAGGACCTGCACAACCAGCCGAGCAAACACATTCTCAATCCACTGTCGCAAGTGCTGGCTGACCAACGACGGCCCCTCCCACTGGTTGGCGTATGCAGATTCAATAAATACCGTCAACATCATGTCCATCACGCTGGCAAAAACCTTTTGGGCCTTGTCCCCGCCTAGACCGACGAGCTGCAAGCTCCTCAGTAGGGACAGCAGACGTTCGCGGGTAGCAACGACTCGCACGTCCTCGTACTCTGCCATCATCTGCATTCGAACCTCCGCGGACGGCTCTTCCCGCCAATCCTGGTACGAGACAGAATACTGCCGGTCGACCTCCATATTATCCACACTGACGGTATCGTCAAAGTTTGCTTCCTCATCCAGCGCGTCAATCCCCAGGATAATGAGCGCGTCCTTTGTGAGCTCTCGGAACAGCAGCTCGGATACTCGTGACCAAGGCAGGGCATACCCCACCACCATTTGGAACGTGTAGGCCATTGCACGAAGTTCTCGTTCTTGATCGGCATGGTTCAGGAGCGGTAGTAGATACTCCGCGAAGGGAGCAAAGTACAACCGCCGTGCCAGTCCTAGGATTCGTACAATATGCTGTAATTGCCCCTTGTCCTCCGAGTCCAACACCTGGTATCATCAGTACTATCATCATCATCGTCATCATCATTAGGCCAAATACCTTGGTCAGAACCTCGTGAAAGTTGCGCAGGAAATGCACCCTTATCTCCAAGCGGTACCACTCGATTATACTCTGCTGCTCCGTCGCGAGACCTTCCCCCCTGGCCAACGGTAGAATCAAATAGTCCAATGCATCCTTGACCTCTTTCGTAAAGCTCGTATGACCCCTCCACCGCTGCAGCAACTCCCCATCATCCTCTGACTGAGTCAAATCCGCAAGTCCTTCGCTCGGTAATTGCAGAAACGCAGTCGCTACATGCCACGCACGATCCCAAGATTCTTTGCCATATTGTTCCTGGTTAGCAATCCTCTCGGACTGGGAATGATGCGGACTTTTTGCGCTGGCCAACCGAGACGCTTGCGCGGTGGTGAAATACGCGGGTGGGAAGACGGAGCCGAAGACGCGCTTGCGGCTGGCAGATATGGTCGAAGGCATGGTAATGGAGACTAGATCAATCCGGACGCATCGTGGGGCCGATGGTCATGAATCGCCGCCCTTGTACGTCGTACAGGGCTATTTTTTGTGGCTTCTCATACTCGCGGTGAGGTCCCTTTATCTCTATCGCTATCGATGTTGTCGCGTGGGGTGCCAAGGAATCGCGCTATCACGTGATTTACGCATGACGCATATAGAGCAGGAGTACAGCGATGAAAAGGAAAGGTTCTGTTCAAGAATAATTAAAATGGACTCAGAAATGTATAGGCTGTAAGGAAACTATCTATGCAAATATGCAAGTAATCGCCACCGATCGTTATCTATGGGTATCAACTGAGGAGATCGAATGCATATGGCGCGGAGTACTTGTAGATCAACAGAGATGTATCACAGAGCTCAGCTAACTCTGACAATGTCCTGACGCACATGATTGAGGACTGGCTAAGGACCATTGTTATCATCCACCTTCTCCCACTCACTATCCGTGCTATGGTATCCCGAGCTGTCACCACTCACGCTGAGTCGCTTTCGCGCCTGCGGTTCAACCGGGGGTTGAAGAGTAGCCGACGCAGAGGCTGTGGCAGGGGCAGCGCCCGTGGCAACGCCTGTGGCAGCTGTGGCCTTGCTCTTCTCCTTCACAACCTCAGTCTCGGTATCACTGTCGGTGCTGTCCAGGGGCCCCGGTGGCTTCGTGCTACCACCCCTCAACTCTTGTGTCTCCGTGGGCGCCTCCTGTGCCTGTACCTGTCTCAACTCCTGAGCGAACCAGTTGATCGACCACCATAAAGCCGCGGAAAGGATGGAGAGCACCACGAAGTGGATGCTGTATGTGGCTAGAAGGAGCGCGAGTAGGAGGACTTGCAGGGCGGCGAAGGTGACATTGGTCGCGATCAGGAGCGACGGGGTGGGACCCGGGGTAAAGACGCTCGACCAGAGGTCCTCCACGAATGATCCCATGTTTGATTACGGCAACTGACAAGGGCAAGGTTGGTTGTTCAGGCTGCAAGGGTTTCTTGCGGGGTTGATGGTTAAACTCGGTTTGTTCAACAGGGTCAAAGGAGTAATGACGTTGAGGGTCGGAAACTAAAATCCGTCGAATCTGCCGGGTCAGAAAGGTTACTGCATGATAAACATTAGTGATACTCTATGCTCCTGAAGTAGAGACGCAGTGAAAGAGGGTCACAAACTGGAATGACGCCCTCGTAGGAAAGCAAGAACTACAGTCAACCTTGCAGTGATGGAATTTAATCTCAAAGATGTTGACACAGTGTGAGTAGCGGTGACCTGTACCTTCAGAAAGTCGGCGGATGACCGAGAATGACGGTCGGCGTTTGACTGGTGATGATCAGTGGGGAATAAACCAGAGGACGACTGGAGTACGCCCCCAGGATTTGCAAGGGATCAAGGTGAGATTTCGGTTGTTCAACAGCTATCTATCTACCCCGTGGGGATGATGATTCAGATGGAGGCTAGAAATATGGATAGGTTGCGATATATTGTAGGGAGGACTTTGTTGACACAAACAGCGGATGAAGAGGGGCATCAGTTGCAACTGACGCTAGCACTTTTTAAGCAGATTAGGTATCTAGAGACCGCGTCAGGTAGATATCTATTAAGTATAAGATTATAAAGACACATTTCCTCCTCATTCCTAACACTGAAAGACCCCAAAGTATATACCTTGCCCAGTAAGCTACTCCGTACAGTCTTCATGACTACCGCGGGTGACAGCGACAAGCAAGGAATGAGGAAGATCACGTTGGATTTATCAGCGCAACTCAGCACGGGACAATCATCAGCTTGGTCGTATATCTATCCTCGAATCATTTTCCGATCGGTTTTCGCCCTGAGCTTCCTCCACAATTTCCTTGCCGTCGGGCCGACCACTGTTGCCAACCATTTCCCTGCTGGTCGTCATGGCTTTATCTCGTGTGATCAGCACGTGCCGTCCTCCAAGCAGTCACGGGATTCCTTCCAGGAGGAGATACTATACTTGAATTTGAACAGTACACAGAATCGACTAAAGCGGTCAGCTATCAATCTGCCCTGAAGAAAGACAGAAGTCTCACTTGTTCTATGGCAGCCACCTTGATTCTAGTAAATTCGAGCATCTACAGCCTTGGTTTGACTTCGGCTGTCCCATGAATCCACCCGTCTAAAACGCCTCGTCGAGAGCGCCATACCGATCCGATACCCACTTGGTTATTTCCTCTTTGGGTTAAGAGTCTCCTCTCACTTCCAATAGCCGTCTGCTGCAAACGGCCTCGCTGCTATTCGACAGTCTCTTCTATGCGGATCTACATCTCCTTGATTCCAGCGCCGTCCAGTTATTGTTACCTGATTATTAGGCTTTGTTTCTTCTTTGCTCTTCTGTGCTTCGCTTCCCCGCCTCAGAATCATGGCTCGGGTAGTATCCGACTTGACCGTCCTACGCCGAATGTCTACGAATCAGCGATCGTGCTCGGTCTTTGCACCTGTCCAAGTCTCAATCACAATGGACGGCCCTCTGTAGACGTATATAAATCATGCTTCGGCTCTGTAGCTTGTTCCTGTCCTCTTCCATCTGACCAGCCACAAGTCTTGTCCTCCGCCACAACCTTATTGAACACACCCCCCTTCCCTCTTACTCCCTCTACTAGCCAGGTATGGCAAACAAACACCCTGACGTCGCCAAGGAGGTCTCCCCAGATGGTCGTGTAGGATTCAGCCATCATGCAGAGAACATCATGACCGACCGAGAGCCCTATGGGCCTCCCGGTATTCGTGGTCTCATCGCGAACCCATTTGTCTTTCTCTGTGCCGCATGTTCGACGCTTGGTGGTCTGGTGTTTGGCTATGACCAAGGTGTGGTGTCTGTCATTCTGGTGATGGACCAATTCCTGGAACGCTTTCCGGAGGTATCTCCTAATGCATCCGGTGCTGGTTTCTGGAAAGGCCTCATGACCGCCATGATTGAGTTGGGGGCTCTCCTTGGTGCGCTCAACCAGGGATGGATCGCGGACAAGATCTCTCGCCGGTACTCGATTATTGTTGCCGTCATCATCTTCACGATCGGGTCTGTGCTGCAGACTGCCGCGGTCGACTATGCCATGTTGACTGTAGCTCGATTTATCGGAGGGTTGGGAATTGGTATGCTGTCGATGGTTGCTCCGTTGTACATTTCCGAGATCAGTAAGTGGCCTGGTCATTCCCAGTCGGGACAGCACTGACGCTTGCCAAGGCCCTCCGGAGTGTCGCGGTACTTTACTGGTACTGGAAGAGTTTTGTATTGTCCTCGGGATCGTCATCGCATACTGGATCACATACGGCACCCGATTCATGGCGGGGGAATGGTCCTGGAGACTTCCCTTCCTCCTGCAGATGATTCCCGGTTTTGTCCTCGCCGGCGGTGTCATTGCCTTGCCCTTCTCTCCTAGATGGCTCGCATCCAAGGGACGCAACGAAGAAGCCCTCCAGAGTCTGTGCAAGCTGCGTCGGCTGCCTCCATCCGACAAGCGGGTCCGTCAGGAGTACCTCGACATCCAAGCCGAGGTCCGCTTCCACCAGGAACTGAACGCAGAAAAGCATCCTACCCTCCAAGGAGGCGGCACTCGGAAATCCTTCCTGCTGGAAATGGCCTCCTGGGCAGACTGCTTCAAGAAAGGATGCTGGCGACGAACGCACGTGGGCATGGGCCTCATGTTCTTCCAGCAGGTGAGTAACTGGCATTCTTTTCTCCCTTCGATCCCCGCTCACACATATACTGCATAGTTCGTCGGGATCAACGCCCTCATCTACTACTCCCCCACCCTCTTCGAGACCATGGGCTTAGACTACGACATGCAACTCCTCATGTCCGGCATCCTCAACATAACCCAGCTCGTCGGCGTCATGACCAGCGTCTGGACAATGGACAGCCTCGGCCGCCGCGTCCTTCTCCTCTGGGGCGCCTTCTTCATGACAATCTCCCACGTCATCATCGCCGTCCTCGTTGGCCTCTTCTCCAATAACTGGCCTGCCCACCGCCCCCAAGGCTGGGTCAGCGTCGCCTTCCTACTTTTCTACATGCTCAGCTTCGGCGCCTCCTGGGGTCCTGTCCCCTGGGCTCTTCCTTCGGGTACGTTTTCTCCTTTTCAGTATACCTTCTCACCCTAGACCAGAAACAGAACTGACAAACAGCAGAGGTCTTCCCCTCCTCCCTCCGCGCCAAGGGAGTCGCCCTCTCCACCTGCTCAAATTGGCTAAACAACTTCATCATCGTAAGCTCCCAAACCATCCATCCAGATCCTATCAGAATCAAGCTAATGACGGCAGGGCCTCATCACCCCGCCTCTGGTCGAAAACACCGGCTACGGCGCCTACGTCTTCTTCGCCGTCTTCTGTCTCCTCGCGCTCATCTGGACCTTCTTCTTCATCCCAGAGACCAAGGGCCGCACCCTCGAGCAGATGGACCACGTCTTCAAGGACAATTCCAGTGAAGCGGAGAAAGCGCGCCGACACGCTATCGAGGCGGAACTGTTGCGCGCGGAGTATGAGTATCGGAATGCGGATGTTGGGGCTTGATTTACGCTGGGGGGGTTTTGTGAACAGAACAGTCCACGGGTGGACTTTAATCTCTCTCTCTCTTCTTGATTGTACATCACTTGAACAATAGCTAGCATATAACGACGATTATGACTACTCTAACTGTCCTTATGACAAATAATTCTTCAACGAACGTGTTCTTCTTCCGTCAAGATTCATACAGCGCCTTACTTACCGAACTGTCGTCTCACAGCTGCATCCCCTCAAACGATCTCTCCAAATCATCAGCCCTCGTCACCCCCTCCGCAACCCGGTGCTCCCTGCCCCCAACCGGCTCCCCGCATTCAGGACACGCCGTCTGCTGCATCGCACCCCCACACTCACCAATCGTAAAGGGGTGTCCATTCCGGCAATAATACCAATGTCCCGTGCCATGGAACTCGCGCGCCATGGCCGCTACCACCGCCATGCGCTCTTCGTTCGTCACCAAGGTGTAGAAAGTCGAGTCCCGGAGCATTTTGTCGACGCTCTCGATATCGGGTAGAAGACCTCTCGTCTGGCTTAGGTGCTGCGTGCAGAGGGATCGCGCGCGAGCGACAGCGACTTGCGCGTCTTGAAGGTGTGTCTCCGCGGCTTGTGGAGAAAGGGTCTGGGATCTTTCCAGGGCGTGGAGGTGCGCAAGGAAAGTGTGGCCCTCTGCTTGCTGGCGGATACGGCCGGAGTCCTCTGCGAGGTTTATGAGTGCGGAGCACTGATCTCTTGCGTCTTGAAGGTTGAGGGAGATAGTGATATTGCCCGTTTGTGACGAGGCGCGGCCCTTGACGGTAAGGAAATCGGCTAGCAGGGCGATGTCGAGACGGAGGTTCAGGGCGGTAGCGAGGAGGACGCCCTTGGACTGGAGTATGGTGTTGTCGAAGTCAAAGTCTCCGTCGGTCTGGTTCCTTCGTTTGGCGTTTTCGACCATGCTGCGGACTCGGTCGTAGGGCTGTTCGTCCAAGGCTACTCGTTTGTGGTAGGCGACGACCTTGCTACGAAGCTTGGTTATATTCTCCCACCGGCCAGGGGATGTGTGGTGAACTAATTCCGCCATTGTCTTGACATTCTGCTGGATTGAGCCGTCGAGTTGCAGATGGTCGGGCCAGACTGGTCCTTTTCTACGTGCAACGTCTGTTTCCTGCATTAGCTTCACCTGTCGGGCGAGCTCCTCCTCCAGTGGAACGTATTCACGATTCAAGTAAAGGATGAACTTCTTGGTGGATTCGTCCAGGAGCGCTCGCCGCACAAGTCGACCGTACCTGGCAAGATCTCTCAATGACCCACGACAGGTAGCACACGTCTTGATATCATCCATGGAGAACGGGCGCGACGCATCGTTGATCGACATAGGTCTTCCTTGTTCATCGAGTTCATAGTGCTCTTGCAAGGCCATTTGCCCGTCCATGCTTTCCATGGTCAAGAAATGGCCACAGCGAGGGAAGATGCACGGATTTTCGTCCAGGTTGATGTTCTCGTACGTCTCGCCCAAGATAAAGTCCACAACCTGGTGTTTGATTTCTTCACTTCCACACGTCTGGCAGTACTTGTCGGACGGGCACTTCTCACCACACAACGACGGGCATTGGTGACCACACTGCAGCTTCTGGTCGCACCGTTTGGAGCACGGAATGTGGTTGCACGGGGCGGCGCAGGGCATTGTGCACGCGCTGTGTGGGCATCTGGAGAAGCATTGCTCTTCTGCACATGGGGTGCATGGCTCCCGGCATTTCCTGGTACATTTGGAGTGATTGCACTGCACGTCACAAGGTTCTTCGCACGGGGGACAAGGCTCGTCGCCATGGCAAACCGCAGTGCAGAAGTGAGAGCAAGTTGAGTGCTTGCGGCCGCACTTTTGCTGGCATCTTCCGTGGTCGATGTGGACATCCTCCCAATCAAGAAGCCGTAGGCAATGATGGCACGGCCGCTTGCATGTGTGTCCGCAAGTCAAAAGAGCATTACACTGCGCGGTACACGTAAAAGTAGCCAATTTCACATCTTCATGACATTGCACCCTGATCTCATGCTTGCAACGTTCGACTGTCTTGGTAACAGCCACCTTGCAGCGGACAGTGGACAGGTCCTGATCTTGCCAGCAGGGCAAAGTCGGCATTGAATGGCCGCATTCAAGCTTCCTATCCTCCTTGTACACAGTCACCATACACTTAACGGGGCAAGGATCACCACACCGCTTGACGCACGGATGGGTACACCCTTTGCGCGGACGAGGGCACGGCTGTGGGCAATACACGGCGTTGTGAAGCAGTTGCGAATGGCACTTTTGCTCACAAGCATGGCCGCAGGGAAGGCGATTGATGCAGCGCAGATTACAACCTCCTTCTGGGGATAGCTGCAAAAAATGGTCGGGCTCGGAAACAAGGAGTGGCGTATCAGGGTGACGGGGACACTGCAATTCCAGCTGTGATCCTATATTGCCCGACTGCCGAAGGATGTCAATGACCTGCGCCCACATGGGGACGTGAGCACAAGTCTCAGAATTGCCAATGATGTACATTCCATGCTGAGCTCGTGATAGGAGGACGTTTATTCTGTTTGACGTACGCAAGAACCCGCAGCGATTCTGAGGGTTACTCCGGACCAGCGATATGACGACGACTTTGGCCTCTTCACCTTGAAAATTGTCTATGGTCGCGACTCTCAAACTTTCCAGTAGGGTAGCTCTCGCGGCAGTCTTGACAACAGTTTCACCAGCTTCAAAGCCAGCACTCTGGAGCTGGTCGGCATCTCGTTCTCCAAGTGTGACGGTGAAGTGTTGCGAGAACAGCTGACGTAGTCGATGGAGTTGACCCAGATACGGAGTAATGACAGCAATTTCGCCGCTGTGATATTTGCCTTGGCACACGAGATGATTGACCACGGCGATTGTCATCTGAATCTCGTACTCATTCCAGTGGGAAGTCGCCAGCAGACTTGTATTGGCCGTGTCCGCCTCCGGCTCGCGATGGTCCAGCCAAAACAGTCTTCGGCGCATACCCACAACTTCTGGATAGCTTGACACGGATTCTGCATCTTCTATTTGAGGATATAGAGTATCCCGAATAAGTTGGGCGATGGAGGGATGCATCCTACGCTGCGTTTCCAGTGTGCTGAACGGAAGACCTAAACCCATGGCACTCTGCTGTTCCACCAGTCGCTCAAACAACGAAACGTCCAGAGAGTACTTTTCGCCACCTCTGGGATTCTCGCGTGAGAGATCGTAATTTTGAACCTGCGGACGGAGTTGTAGGTGATCACCAATGAGGATGGCGTGTTCGACCGAGGGCAACAGAGCTGTGAGAAGGTGTGCTTCCAGGACCTCGCCGGCTTCTTCACACATCACCACTTTGGATTGTAGCTTTCGCAGCATGTTTAAATTCCTAGCGAGACCGGATGTGGTGACTCCAATAACATCAGCATCTGCCAGACAGCGAAGATCCACTTCGTCCCGAACGTTGTCGAAATTGGCTTTGGCCCTATGGTGTGCTGAGCAGAGCCGCGTGACTTTATCATGCACCAGCTTAATGACTTCTTTCGTCCATATCTGGTACAGAGCCTCTCTTTCTTTTTGGGACAATTGAGACGGATTTAGTGACATGAGTACGTCGAAATGTCGTATCTCATCTCCTGGTCCCCCAGCCTGGACCCAACGCCTGATCACATCACTAGGCTTGCCGTGCTGAACCGTCTCCCAACCGTCTTCGTCTTTACCGAACAGACCAGAATAATAGCGTGGATATACTTCGTGCAGGTGAGGGATGAGATGAGTGGCTAACAAGTCCTGATTGATTTTCAGGGCAGAGAACTCTTCCTCGCACTCCTCTATCTCGCAATGGAGGCGATATTGATCTTCTCGCTCCCTCTTGGTCTTCTCGGCATCCTTCGCGATGTGTCGCAGATTGAGAAACTTCAGCTGGTCGGACTTGGACTGCGAACCGATCCGGATTATCTGCGACGTCACTCCTTTGTCAATGAGAGCATCCAACAACTGATCCAGAGCATGATTCGTATAAGTAACACATAACACAGGACCAAGATTTGTCTTTCCTTGCTTTTTATTTGCCAGCAGGACTCGGATAAGCGCGACACCTGTGTAACTCTTACCCGTACCAGGAGGCCCTTGGATCAAGCCAATTCGGTGTTGAAGGCTATGGACCAAGGCCATCGCTTGGGCTCTGTCGAGGGTTGAGTTGCGTTGCAAGCATTCTATATCGACTGGTTTATTGGCTTGGATGAATAAATCGGCCTTGTTATTCATCAAGCAACGAAGGTTGAAGCGAAATCCGGGTCTCAACGCATAAAGGGGAGGAGGAATATCAACTGGGCCAACATCGCCGTTCGGGACCAGAATCTCTATGAATGGTAGCTCCCTGTCCTCCTTAATTTTCTTCAGAGCTCGCAAGGTTGGTTCGAATCCAGCCAGTAGAATACCTGGGAATTCGACAACAGAAAAATCGCGTTTATTCAGGACCTTGTACAATATTGTGCGGACCATTCCGGGTTTCGCATCGACCAGCGTCATCTTGACTGATGCTTCCTTTGGGTCAGCCCACAGGGATGCCGCAGCTTCACTTGCTTTATTGGCATCGTCTGTTTGCTTTTTGGAGGACCTGACTTGGCCGTCCACGACGGTACAGAAGACGACAGTCTTTCCATTGCGTCCATTCATAATGAGACACACAAGAGCACCGGATTGCAAACGCTTCGACAACTGCCACCAGTTTTCCCGATCCTTGGCGGACATCTCACTGACCCGTGGCGGTTGAGGAAATTGGACTTTGAATTGGAAACCAAGGAATTTGTCAAAGTAGATCTGTCCGATCGTTGCATGAGGATAGATGTGTGTCCGGACCTGGGAAGTCCGTCCGCCTGATCCTTTTGACCCCTTGAGCTCCTGATGAATAGCATCGCGCAGCTGACCAATTGTATCTTCTCTTAGTAGGCGGAAATTCCGGTCCAACAAACCGTCCAGACCACCAACATGCCACTGGCTAGGATCATTGACGGGTAGATATTCGATACGCGAGCTCTGGATCTCATCTAGGGTTGGCATGATCGCGATCTTCACAATATCGGTATGATCGTTATCATGTCTGCCACCGGGGGGTTCGCGATGTACGGTAAATGTTGCAGTAGACTTCGGTTCACATTTGGGCTTATCGTTCGCAGGTGCAGATGGTAGCAAGCTGCCAATTTCCAGTCGGCGCAGAAGGTGGTCGAGAAGATTGCGCGAGTGGTGGAGAGAGCTTGCCAGGCCACTCTCGGTCATCTGGAGAAAGAGCTGCTGAAACCTGTTTGCTTGGTCTTTGAGTGTATCCTGAACGAATGCGGTGGAGTTGAGATCGACGATTTTTGCAAAGACGAGCAGTGAAACTTCCAACCACTCCACGGCTGTCTCCTCGTTGCTGGTTGTCGATAGCACATCGCATATTGAGCTCAGGAATAGCGCTGCCCTGCGACCATTGATACCAAAGAGCACGTTGAAAATAGTTCCCACTGCTTGTTCCAAGATCAGCGAGGATAAAACCCTAGGGTGCGAGACGGTTTCCAGCAGAGGAAGGACCTGTGACCGGAAGACTTCTCCCTTTGCCATCGACTCAGCCTTGGGGAATTTCTCCTCCACAAGATCTCGGATACGTTCCAATCCTGTCTCCCCAGCTAGTTCGCGTATCACATCTTGCATAAGACCAGCGTCGACTTCGACAAACTGTCGAGCATCCCGGAAGAAGTTCTCCAACTTCGCGCGACCTGGTCGAGACGAACGGGAGTCTGTGGCTAGGGTATCCTTCCAGGATTGAAATCGTTTCTCTGAATCTGACAGCTCCGGTCTTTTGGGTCTCGCGTCCCGTTTTGATTGGTCGTCGTCTCGCCTTCCGGGGTCATTTACGTGTTGAAACTTGCAGTTTTTGAAGGAACAGGTTCCCCTTCTGGCAAAGTTTTTGCAAATCCTGAAGGCCGTTAGTATTGTGTTCCCAATATCGGACTGGTCCGAGCGACGTACTTGGGTCTTGCCATGTTTACGGTCGACGTGTCTCGCTAGATAAGAGCCTCACTACCACTGCTCGATAATTGAGGGAGAAGAGCTGACTGGGTAGGAGAAGAATGAAGAAGTTCCACGTGGTTAGGCTTTGATGTGTTAGATTGGAAAGTCAAGCCGTCAAGGTGGAAACGTAAAGCTATGAGAAAGAGCGATAGATAAAAGAAGACAACAAAAAGCAAGGTAGAGGCGAGAAGAAAGTGAAAGTTGACGAGCTCATCTCGTTTTATAAGAGCAGAGCACAACAGATCTGATGTTTTAGGGTGAGGACGCCTTGCACTGCGGCAACTGTGAGCACAAAGCATTATTTTGAGACATTCACAGCCAACAGACTGTCTTCCCAAGCAATGCTTTGTGTTGGAACAAAGTCACGAGTAGTATTTCTCCAGCCTTTTGCTATGAGCAGGCATTCTTGTATCATCGTTAGATGAGCTGCGCCACTGGAAGCTGTGCCACTGCGGTCTCCGATGCTGATAACCACTCATTCTACCTTCCATACTCACACTCTGTAGGTGTGTATCACCTTTTATCTAATGTTTGCCTTGACAGTAATCGCATGTCGACTCATAACATTTCTTGGACACAGCAGGTGGGTGAAGCGCTCCATAATCTGGCTGACCGCTCAAGGAATTGTCACCAACCAAGACAGTACTACAACGGTTTACTCACTGGAAAAATACCGAGTCTGGACAGCATAGCTGTTTATCACTGCACCATGGTTGATCTTAATGCAGATTCGCCGTCTCTCGTTCAGAACCTGCTCTCTTATCTTTCAGACTCTGTCTCCCTCGCAGTATTCAATAACCGCTCAGGTTACCAGGCTCAATTCGGAGGCTTTCTGTCAACTTTCGACCAACAAAATACTGTCCCAGCTACATACGCGGCTTTCCTGATTGCCAGACTGGGCTGTCTCTGGAAGAGGAGGCAACAAAGTGATCCGACCGTCTAATCAAACCTCATCTATATAAAATCTAATTACAACCCTTATATCAGTCAGCAGGCGGATGCAACGAATAAGGTGGCGGCGGATCATCCTCCCGCGCACTTCTCCTCCTTGTCCTCTCCTGCAGCGGAATCGGCGGTCCCCAGGAGAACCCCGCTCGCGCTTTATAGTTCCTCGCCATCCTCTGCTCGTACCAGATGATCAACCCCACAATCACAATGCCGGCGATACTCACTCCCACCGCTATCCCCACCTTCGCGCGAGTGGTCAACCCTCGCCCGCTTGTGCCTGTCACTCCTGTACCGTTGCAGGTGGAGTTGGAAGTCGGGGCTGCATACTTGAGGGCGCTCTGGAAGGAACTGCAGTCAATGGGGTTGGTGGTGTTGATTGTAACACGAGTGACCTGGGTGAGGGAGGGAAACCCGGCGCTACAGCAAGTGAGTTTTAGGCCAAATGATGTATGATAGATCATACCTTGTGATGTTTCCATTCAGCTGGATGGTCTCCGTGGAATATAAGCTTGTGAAATTGACGTCTAGACGGGATGATGACTCGACTGTGATGTTGCCCTGGGTTGATTGTAGGGAGTCCAGAGAAAGACTATCTCATTAGCACGCAGGTAACATACAACATATGCCTATGATGGACATACCTGGATATTGCACCCTGGAGATCGAGCATATCGCCCACTGAGTGTAGTTTTGGTAGATTCAGGTCTAAAGGTGCACCGTAGTTATGAATCAAAAGTCCTGATGGGCCAAAATAATTCCTTGTTTGCATGTTGGCCGTTTCGAGGACAGGCATCGAGAATCTAGCCACCGTCAGCTCGGAGAAGAGAGATGCATATGCATATGCTGACGACGCACTCTGTAATCACTCCGGAGAACTGGACAAAAGTCGCAGATTTCAGTGCAGGAAAGCTAAGCGGGAGTTGAGCATAGGCTTCTTTATTGAGGTAATCCGCGGCGACTGTATCAGACCCCCGCATGCTGAGATTGCCATTGACTTGCTCCAAAGCGTCAAATCTCACACTAAGCTGGTTACTCAGGTGTCTGCTGTCAAGCGCCCTGCAGGAACGGAATGAATACCTTGAATAATTCCCCGCCAGCGAGATACTCGTCGCTTGTTTCAACGACCGAAAGTCCACTGCGCCGGTCAACGGTACGGCCAGATTAATCGAGCCGACGGCAGTCGCTTTTGGGGCGGATACATCTATTATCTCTTGACTACTTGGGAGACGAACGTTAATGCCTCCCAGGTACAGCACATCCGGCAGCGAGATAGACGTGAGTTCAAACGTCCCATTAGGGGCGACATAGGTGATGACTCCGCTAATATTGGCGACATTGGGGAGAGAGAATGATCCGTTAAAGCTTTCCAGTAGAGTAATATCATCGACAATTGTGGTGCAGTTATGCGTGGAGAACCAGTTCAGGTCATCGGACGAGGCGAGATGGAATGCGGCAGGTGAGTTCCGGAGGTTGGGATCAGTGCTCCGCTCACAGGTTGTCGCAGCAACAACTTGTTATGTCAGATTTATAGGTCTTGGTAAGAGTAAGCAGGCTTACATGGCGATACAGAAACTAGCAGTGCTGTGACTGCACAGCGATGGAAATGTCTCATCGTATAGCATCAAATTGAGATGCGGAGAAGATAAGAACAATCTGTGGGAGAAGACGACCAGGCGCCAGGGGCCTGGGCATGATAAGTGTCTAACTAGTTATTAATAAGAATAGTGGCTTGGACTGGGCGCGCTTGGGTGCTGGCTAGCAGTGTTAGAAAACAATCTGCAGTGGCGGCTCGTCTTATGCCTTGGCGCTTCGAGAGGGGTAGATGGGCACGGAGTAATAGACAAGCATAAGACGGGTCATCAGCGGCTAAAGTCAATCTGAAGCGCTGGGTATTAGCTAGCCTCCGTACTTTGAACTCATCGTATCAAGTGCTGTGAAGTGTCAAGCGATGAGGCTGTGTTAATGCGCGTCTGATGTTGCTCAATCCAGGGCTCGCACATGGGTGGTCGGATTTGACAGCCTATCAGTCTTTGTAGAGTTGTCAATATACAACAGACTTGACTGGCCAACTTGTCAATTTCAGAGTTATCGCCAAGGCACGAAACGTAAATAAGGTGCAAGTCCCGTTGGATGCCCAGAGAGTCGTCAAACTCAATCCGATGGGCACAGCCGACGTCGGAGATGGTCTTGGAGACGAAGATAAAGGTACCAGGATAGAAGGATATCAAGTTATTGGTTTCAGTATTTTCCTTCTGGTCGAGTAATAGGATAACGATATTGATTATTTCCATGAAACTCATATATACATTAACTAACCTGCATCTCTATATAACAGCAACGCCGCGTACTTCCAGTGAAATCCAAAATCGCGCATGTGATCCTTGTCCTAAAACTAGTATCGATAACCTGTGTATGAGTGGCCTACCATGGCGCAGCAGTAGGAGTGACAGTGGTCCCACTGCATTGACTCGGGGCCGTAATAGCAGTCGACCGACCGCAAGACGCAGGTCTCGGTTGCAAGGAGTTGAAATAGGATTACCTCTTGAGCGGAAATGACACGGCGACGGACATAGTTTCATTCCATGCAACAGGAAACAGGCGACAGGCTGACCTCCAGGGGATAGATTGTTAGCTAAGTTGATGATCGACGACCAGTCCGAAAATAATTGCAAAACAGCTGATCTGGGGAACCAATTTGACCCATACAATTTCCCAAGCTATCCGATCGAACAGATCGTCCTGATAACACCCCAAAATTCTTATTGTTCAAGGACGACTAAGGGGCAGCCTCGGGAGTCAGTGACAACCTTTTGAGGTATTCTACCACAGGACATTCCTTAGACTGGTCTGGAAGAGGAGCAGACTCATATGCTCAGGTCAATTAGGGCCATTCCGACAAGGTCCTGTTCCTCAGCCGCTGTTCATTGCAAAACGTTTGGAGAACAGGACGGAGCAGCCGAAGAACACGAGATTATGTTTCGGAGGTGCTTCCCCACTTGTCATTTACATTGACAATGAGCATAGCACATATTATCAACCAGTCGTCCACAGGAGCCAGACAATCATCAAGTTTTCCTTCGTTCCAGCTGCCTAGGCCCACGGCTCAATAGCAGCGACGTACGTTCAGAGAGCATGGCCAACTCCGAGAGGCGAAAAGGTGATGATGGAAAGCACCATTATCCGGGCAGGTTATATCATGTATGTTGCCAGGCAATGGCATAATGCGAACCGACCCAAGTCCCGTCATGGATGCTGCGTGGTTGCGAGATGAATTGTGGAGAGACTCGGAAAGTAAGGAGAGAATACAGTGAAAGGATGCATAATTTTGCAGCTTAGATAAAGTCAAGATGTGAACTGAAGCCCTACCCCTTCTTCAGGCAGTCGACGTTGAACTTTAACAGTCGAGAAGTACTAGACTGCTGTAGACGTCTGGGATGATCCATGCAGATATAGGGAAGCCATAGGCACTCAGGTTATTATTTGCCGCCAGATATCTAGGACCCACAATAAATACCACTCTATAAAACGTGGTCCTGAAAGGTCTTAAGTTATAGATATATATGCGCTGTCCATGTGCGAATGAAACGTCTCCAGAGGGAGATACTGATCCGCATGTTCCCTGGGATATATACATAGTTTAGCAGGGTAGTCTGAGGAGCATACTTGTTGTTGCTGTGATACAGCTTTGATATGTACTATAAGAGCCATTTTAGAGGGCATCACTTCCAGTAATGCCTTCGTAGCGCTAGACTAAGGTAGATCGTCATTTCCTACAACCCGGACTGATCCTTGTTGTTCTCGCTCTACGGAGCCCTATTCATTTCCCAATTAGGCAAACACATGGGCAACAGATGAAGGCCTGTCATGTCGTATCTTCAACAAACCAGGGGCCGGTAGGGCAGTGGGTAACCCCTAACCCAGCTGCACTGCTGGGCCCTGGTTCGAGACAGGCCCTGGTCGCCCCTCTGGTATAAATTTACTGATTAAAGAAGAGGGAGCGGCTGGGGCTTGGGCGGATCAGAGAGGGGCCTGTACGGCTTCCTTTCTGATCCGTTTTATTTCTCGAATGGCTATATATTTCTCTTTCTCAACGCGTTTTGTTTTTACTGGCTCTATGTACCATTTGATTTCTTTGCCTTTGTGGTATTGGATGTTTTGTGGTTGAGGACCTGTCAGAGAGGCAGCTCCTCCCCTACTGCAGCAATTTCACTCTCGAAATATGGCCTTTACAGCGAACTGTTTTTCTCTCGATCCCGCGGTATGTCCTTATTTGGACTCTGTCTCTGTCCTCGTCTCCATTTTGTCTGCTCTGACACTTCTGCTTACCCTCCCTGATAACTTACACTTGCTGACCTCATACTTCATACGTGTCAGGCTGAGACATCAGACGCATGCGTCATTCATGCACTTATTTGAAGCGATACAGCTTTCTCTCCTGCTAGGAGATGTCTATAGAGTTCATGGCGCAAGACGATCCAACATTGCGAACGGAGATTGCGACGACGACCACGACGTTTTCTGAAGGCCGACGTAATACCACATCACTAGAGCTCGATCTCCAGTATCAGACATACATGGCAGGAAGCTCGGGAGTTACAGTTCCTATCATCATGCAAATTGAATCCGCAGCGCATTGTGTTATTGATACGCTTCCACGCATACAACAGTGAGGATGACAATCGGCAGTCTGTATAGTGCAATGACACATCAGAACAGATAGACACGATATCTCAGAGCATACAGAACAGATGGACAACTTTTGAAGGGAGCGAAAGCTGTCCGAGGGACTGAGGACTTAACGTGACGCTGGTGGAGCGGCTTCATACGTGCAGGTGCGCATGGCGTGACCTCTCATTGCAGGAACCGAATTCTGCTCGAGGAGTGCTGTGAGCTCGTGCATATTTGCCCTAGCTGAACGCCACCAGGGGTATACTCTCTAAACAATATCTTCACCCGGAGGTAATTTAAAGGTACCTAGGCCGTGTTCTCGTCTAGTTAAGGGGAGGCATTGTCGAACTCTTAAAGTAATAAACTGGGATTGCTCCGCGGAAGTGAGGTCTCACTTGACATTGAACGACATTTAATGTTGATCTCTGGCAATTCAAACCATTTGGCGGCCTTTCCAGATTCAAGGGGTTTTAACGAATTATAGACTTTCAGGCCCCCAGCACGACAATGAACTTGTGATCTCCCCAAGAGAGCAGAATGCTTCGAGAACCGCTTTAGAGCTGGGTGCAACTGATTTGATCTCGAAGGAAAATTACTGGAGTCAGACATAGTAATCGACTCACGTTGGCTGCAACCTTAAAGTGTTGTCTACTGCGGTGCCTTTGCTTCTCTACACAGTCTCAACCACTACCGGGGTCGAACCCGTTGATCAGGCCGCTCACTAAAGCACTGACCTGGACCAATGTAATCACAGTAAGATCAACGTAGGAAAGCAACACATGCAGTCTGACATTGCCTCGCGTCAGACTATAAACAGGCAGAGGTACCCCTCCTTCATATGACTCTTGTCACATAAACATTTGAGCTGAAATGCTGACGGTTAGGTTTGAGATACCTACTGATTGCTCTTCTCACTGACCGGATCTTCGTAAATTGTGATTAAAAATGACTGTCGTCGACACTGACTCGGCTGCTGGGCTAGACGTCGCCGTCTTTGACTTTATCATTGTGGGAGGTGGCACGTCCGGCTTAGTCGTCGCCAACAGATTGACGGAAGATCCGAATACCAGCGTTCTTGTACTGGAAGCAGGAACAAACCGCTTGACTGACCCGCGCATCTTGGTGCCAGGACTGGGGCCTACAACGTACGGAGATCCGGATTTCGACTGGGACTTTAGATCTATCCCTCAGGTACGCCCAAGCAGCAACGCTGACATTCCCACTAGCTGACATGCTTCTTCGACAGGAACAACTCAATGGTCGTCAGCTGCTCGCAACCAAAGGCCGTACCCTGGGAGGATCCTCCGCGATCAACCTCGGATTGGTTGTCTACCCATCGCGGTCGGGGATGAATGCATGGGAGAAGCTCGGAAATCCGGGCTGGGGATGGGACGGTATTGAACCGTACCTCCGCAAATTCCATCAGGCCACTCCGCCGTCCGACGCAATTCGTGAGTTTTTCACGGGGATGAAATACGACCAGGAAGATCAGGGCAGTAATGGGCCAGTTAAGGTGTCTTTTGGAGACCAATACATGCCGTTCCACGGAGCGTGGTTGGAGACTTTTAAGAACCTGGGGTATCCGCAGGTAGAAGATCCCATTCGAGGCGCAGGAACAGGACCGTTTGTCAGCCCTGGCGCGGTGGATCCTGTCACCCATACGCGCAGCCATGCAGGGTCAGGTTATTTCGGCGCAGATATACAGCGTCGCCCGAATCTACGAGTAGTGACGGGCGCGCTGGTGGAGAGGATTGTTCTGGAAATCCGCGAGGCTTCTGCTATCGCCACCGAAGTGCAGTTCTGCAAGGGAGAGCAAACGTACTCGGTCCCTGCGACCAAGGAGGTTATTCTCGCCGCAGGAGCAACGCAGACTCCACAGATATTGGAGCTCTCTGGCATTGGTCGAGCAGACCTCCTCCGCTCGCATGGCATCATTCCAGTCATTGATAGTCCAAATGTTGGGGAGAACCTGCAAGATCATGGATTGGTAGCTTTCGGGTACGAAGTAGCAGATGGGATGCCCTCAGGAGACATGGCAAGAGACCCAGCAGTGGCTGAGGCTGCCATGGAAGCGTATAAGAAAGATGGCTCCGGACCATTGGGCATGGTCCCATTGGTGTCGGCATTTATGCCTTGCATGAACCTCTCCACAGCAAATCGTCGCCAGTTGCTCTCGACAATCGATGCGTCGATCACTTCTGGTAATTTGCCGCGCGCGCAGCAGAAGCAGTACCCTATTCTTCGAAAGCTGCTGGAGGATCCCGATGAGCCCACAGCGCAGTACATCCTGGCCCCTTTCCAGATTCTGCCCCGCGAGGGCAACAGTCCCAAAGGCCTCCTCTCAATGAGTCATCCAGGATGTTTCATCACCATTGTCGCCGCACTGAGCTATCCATTGTCTCGCGGTTCGGTGCACCTCCAGTCCGCAGACACCAAAGCAGTGCCCGCCATCGACCATGGCATTCTGCGTCACCCCGCAGACCTCGAGCTCCATGCACGTCACAGTATTTGGACCGAGACATTGGCCGAAACCGAGCCAATAGCCTCTCTACTTAAGAAGAAAGGAGCACGGCTGCACACACCCGAGCGACTTACTGACGTGGAGAGGGCCAAGGAACTGTGTAAGGAACTCGTACTGTCCGAGTGGCATACCAGTGGGTCATGTGCAATGATGCCACGCGATGACGGTGGAGTGGTGGATCCGAAGCTTAAAGTATATGGGACGGCGAATGTGCGGGTGGTGGATGCCAGTGTGTTTCCACTGGAGCCCCGGGGAAATATCCAGGCCACGGTGTTTGCGGTGGCTGAGAAGGCGGCAGATATTATCAAGCAGGACTCTCTCTAAGCTTTGTTAAGGCTGATGGTAATCCGAGTCATACCGGCTTTCATTTGTCTTACAACTTCTCAGGAGGACGTTGAGTGTGATGTTAGTGAGATTCAAAGTTTGTTAGTGACTGTGATTATTTATAGATAGGGCCCGTGGGTTCTTTGGGCGCGGCTTTGGTCTAGTAGTAGCTTTCAGAGGATTAGAGGCAGGACTAAGTCAGAATAGACCGGAAATTGAGGATCCTACTAAAGACTGAACTCATTATTACTCAAGAATGTGATGTGACATTAAATGCATGCATCTTCATTTACTGCCTTAGGCCGCTAGTAAGAAGCACTGCAGAGACCTCGGCACGTTGCATCTTTGACCTGTCTGATCTTCCTTAACTGCGCTCTTCCCAACCACCTCATCATTCCAATTCATCCACCAACGATACGTCCACACAAAAGCAGAAAAGAATACGAGGCAAGAATCTATCTGCAGGGTCTCCTAAAGTCAAATCCTCCATTGACTCGAATCTGAACGGTGATCCGGCTGACTTCTCCGGGGAGACATGTCTTACAACCCCGCATCGCCATCAGCATCACCGACACTAAATCATGGTCAGGTTACATTGCCATTGGGAAGCCAAGTCACTAGTTCTACGCTAGACTGCTAGACATGCTAGAAGTCTCCTACAGCAACGGTGATGGGCCAATCTCGCGAGGGGAAGCAATTTAAGAGTCTAAGCGAAAAGACTAATCTAATTACCTTGTTCGCAACATAACCTGTTTCTAGGAAAGATTCTGAGTCAGGCCCTATCAGGAACAAGGGGACAACACAAAGTTTACAACGTCAGTGGACGCCTAAACAGTGGAGAAGCTGTTGGAATTTGAGAGTGTTCTCTCGTCTGTCTACGCTTTGTTGGTGTTGGACTCAGACCAGGATGATTGTCTATCACTCTGTGTGTCTCACTCTCCCCCGGAGACTTTCTTGTTTTTCTGGCAATGGCATCATCTATTACTCAATATGACATATGAGATTGACGAAAGGAAAGGTCTGAGAGAAACTCTGCATCCTACCTTTAGCTCTGTCCGTTGCTTATTGGATACAGTTGTACTGACAGACACCTGTCCAGTTACCATCCCGTTGCCAGCACCAACCTCGTTATTCTAGCAATATATTGCACCCAATCAGACAATCGTCGACGGTCTTGCCACTGACTTGCTCTAAAGAACGGTCCCACGTCGTAGTTCCTTAGCTCATATTCGATAATTTGGTCAGCCACTTCCATGAGAGAAGGCGTGCACTAACCTCAAAAGAGCATTTCCCTTCGTCGCTCGTCCGGGGTCTTCACCAATGTCTATGAACGAACTGGCATACCCCGGATCGAACGGAAATGAGTCTCATTATCGAAGTCAAAGCGAGGTAATCCCACGGATGCAAGGTGATGACACATGTGACTTGACCACCAGCCTCCAGGACGAGATTAAATAGTCCTGGGATGGTACCTCGAGGTATCTATCTTGGCTGATATTTCCTCACCTGCTGTAAATCTGTCGCTCGTTACAGTAGTAACCAGTCGTCCCTCGCTTGATCTTTGTTTACACCCATCACAGTCGTTTATCGTCTGATACTATTTGGTTGCTTCAATGCGGTTCTCTGCGTTAACCTCCCTCCTCGCCTTGGGAGCCTTCACCGGCGTCCTCGCGACGCCCACAAAGGTCTCCAGGGCACCCTCGCTGGTGGAGCGTGACTTTGCCACGGTCACCAGTGTTGTCGCTGCCATTTCGTCCAAGGTCGATGCTCTGGATGCGGACATCAACGCCTACACTGGAGGCGACACGTCCGCCATTGTTGGCGCTTCTGCAGCCCTCATCTCCACCATCAACGATGGCACCTCCACCGTTGCGGCCCAGCCAGCTCTGAGCCAAACTGACGCTCTGAATCTGGTGAATCCAATCTTGGCCCTGACCAACAAGGTCAAGACCACCATCAATGACCTCGTCTCCAAGAAGGATCTGATCGTCGCTGCCGGCGCGGGTCCTACTACCTATCAACAGTTGCTGGACCAGTACGCGGCCTCCTCGAACTTGGCTACGACCCTGTCTAGCAAGGTGCCGGATGCTCTCAAGGACGTCGCTAAACAGCTGTCCTCGGGAATCACTTCGGCCATCCAGACGGGCATCGATGCTTACAAGGATGTGGGCACCGTCACGACCACTACTACTTCGACGACTTCCACTACCCCTACCACTACCACTACCACTACCACTACCCCTACAACTACAACTACCACTACAACTACCCCTACAACTACCCCTACGACTACCTCCACTCCATGTGAGACTACTACTACTACCACAAAGACTACCCCTACGAC